CTCAAGACAGCCATAACATTATGTTTCTTTACAAGTGTATGTAAACTTTTCACCACAACTGTACATAAAACATCTGGAGAGGATCTGAATCAATGAACATCATTTCTCTTTGTCTAAACTTACCAAAAACCTTTCCTAGAAAGATACTTTTGACCATGTTGAACTGTGTGTCAGAAGCGTCGGGCAACATGTATGTAGACAAAGGGTAGTGGTCAAGCTGAGGAAAGATGACAAAAGACAAGTTTAGCTGCAAATCTTCAGTTTATTTTTTCCAACTAAACCCCTAGAACAGAGGTCTATAACCCTGGTCCTGGTGACCCACTGTCCTGCATGTGTTAGATATTTTTGTAGACTTGATAAGGGGCTATATAAGTTCAAATCATTTACCATTTACTTGGTGGGGGTGGGGGGGCATTGGTTAACCTGATGAATAGCCCCTTATCAGCTAAACAACCAACGAAAATCTGAAGCTATGTTTCATAGTTTTTGAAATTGGGGGTCTGGGGGGGTGGGGGCACTGATTGGTGGGCCTGATGGATAGAGCTTCATCAGAGCTAAACAACAAAAGAAATCTGAAGCTCCTATGTGGAACAGTTTCTGAGTTATAAGCATTTTTGCATGTCCAGACACCCCCTCTTTGAAAGGAGCCCCCTCCTCAAATATGGGGTCTATCGTAAAACCGTTGGCTGGCGCAGTGTAGGTCAGACTTTTCTACAGTCCTGCCAAATTTCATGTTGACCAGTGCAGCTGTTTTTGTGCTACTTTTGACCAAAAATCACTGAAAAAAAAAACAGTACAAAAACAATATGACTCCCTAATAAACTCAAATCAAACTAAAAGTCAACATCTCAGATGGTGCTAAAAGCCAAAGAAAAGAGATAGGTTTTAAGTAATGTTTTTTGCTGTCAGAGAAGTGGCCTGTCTGATGCCCAAAGGCAGGTTGTTCCACAGCAGTGGAGAATGCACTTCCCCTAGAAGCTTACGTTTGGTGTTTGGGATTCTCAGGAGCAGCTGGTCTGCTGACCTGAGAGAACGGGAGGAGGAGGTGTAGGGGTGCAGCAGTTCAGTGAGGTAGAGTGGGGCAAGATCATTATTGCTTTAAAAACAAATAAAAACTTGAATCTTAAAATGTACAGGCAACCTGTGCAGAGAGGCTAAAACAGGGGGAATGTGCTCATGCTCTTTTGTGCCAGTTAAAAGACGTGGGAACATTTTGGACCCTCTGGAGGTGAGCAACAGAGGAAGCACTGACCCCCAAATAAAGTCCATTACAGTAGTCTTACAAAGTGGTGATGAAGGAGTGGATTACTGCCTCAAAGTTCTTTCTAGAAAGAATGGGCTTGACTTTAGCCAGCTGCCTTAAATGAAAAAAGCTGGATTTCACAACTGCTCTTATTTGCTTATCAAATCTAAGCTCACTGTCCACTTTGACCCCTAGATTTGTGATGACTTGGTTTGGTGTTTAGAGTCCAAAAATATAACTTCAGTCTTCTTCTCAGTCCCCTGCAGCAGTAGCCTGGTCCTTGCCTTCCTATGCAGCTCAATTCTAGTTTCCCTTCTCTGCTCTGTCTGGCATTTCTCCCATTGACAAGGATTTCACTGGCAGATTTTTAGCCGGGCCAATCAGAGAACAGAATGTCGATTTTCTGCGCAGTGTCTGCTTGTAGTTTATTTTACCTGGGCCAATCAGCAAACAGAAGGTGGAGTTTTGAACGACGTCAATTTTCTGCGCAGTGTCTGCTAGTTAGTTAGCAATGGCAGTGGAGGAAGTGAATGAAGCCAGTCTGTGTTGATAAGGCTTCCAAATTAAAATAAATTTGTCTGACAAAGCAGCAGCTCTCATTTACACTCGTCTTGTTTGGCTCGGTGTATTTCTCCTCTCAGTAGGGTTGTTTTCAGCGCACGTGATTTCCGGTTAGCTTCTTAGCTTAGCCTCCTTCACAGCAACATATACATACACGCACACACACACTTCAGCAGAGGCCACGCCTCCAGCAGGAATCACCTCTCTATGGCCGCGAGTCCAGACCCTCTGTACGAAGCAAAGTGAAGGACAGGGTCTGGTTTTTAGCAGGCTACTGCAGCAGACATTCATAACCTATTTAACGGATATTTGTTCTACTTTAAACACACATCAGGTACTTGAATTTGGTCAGAGACATTGTACTGCTTGTTCACTGCTAACATCTGGATTCTGCCACAATGACTGAAGGAACTCACCTGTAGTCGGATCTCCCTGTAGTTCCTTGTTATGTTGACAAAGTGTGGCTGTCCATTTGCCATGTTACGATGGTCAACATCAATGGTGTACGGTTCTGTTAGCCCCCCGAGACTGTAGCGAATCTGGAGAGTGCCTACACACAGACAGTCCACACGTTTATAAAAGAGCCCTTTTTATTGTGATGTAAACAGCAACAAATAACTCAGAGACATCAGGTGGTCCAGAGTCCTCAGAGGACACTCTGTCAGGCTTCAGGGCTGGAGGGTCAAATCCCTCCAAAAATTACTGTTAGGCCTACTTAACTTAGGATCAATGTTGGTTGAGTTATTATTTTTAAACACCTGAAAATACAATTATTATTCACATGCATTTTTGGTTGCCTTAGTACTACTATTACTTTTTATTTATTTATTTGTTTTCCCTGCTGTTCTGCTCTCGGAGGAGTAAGACGCTTTTTTCCTTCTTTCCTGCCCTCCCTTATCTTCCCAGCTTTTCTACGTTTTCATCCGAAACCAGAAATTATGATATTTTATTTTTATGGATTTGGTTAGCTGGTCTCTTAATAAACTTTTGGAACAAAGTTTTCTTCCATGAGGGGACATGTCAAACCTCTGTTCTGCTCTGTTCTGGATATATATTTGGATTCTGATCACTGGATTCTACAGATTGGCTTGGTGGTCTCCTGGTGTTCTACAAAACAACGTCGGTGGCTATACGGGGCATTTCCTGGCTGCCTGACCAATATGAAGGATTGCCGTTCTTTCAGCACTCAGACTTTTGCCTTGTGTGAGCTGGACTCAGTCTACAAGCGGTTCTGCTGAGGGTCGCGGGCCAGCTGTGGTCCCTGGACTTTGCTGGCCAGATGGAATTGATCTTGGAGAAGCTGACAGTTCGGCTCGGCGAGATTGTTCACACTATTTGTCTGATTGGATTCGCCACCTTGAGATGTACCAGCAGACGTTAAAGCAGATGGAAAATTGTTATTGTCTGCCTGGCTCTAAACATTCTCTTCTGTTCCCAAACAAATGATTACAGATTTGGCTCTTCTACATGGCCTTGAGCTGTTGGACTAAATTCTTCCTGGATGCTTACGTCGACTGAGGGTCTGCCCCCCACTTTTCCCCCCTCTTACTCCCGTCTGTGATCTGGTTCCTGGAGCAAGCTGAGGGCCGCTCAGAATGAACAGTTACCATCAATATTCTGGACTATGGCTGCGCGGGTTTTTGGGGACTCAATTCTTCTGGCTCATTTTTCAGATATTCACACAAGTGCATACAACACTTATGGCTTCAGATACATGCCCCCCTAAACTCACTTACTACTCTGGCTAATAAATCTGCCCTATGCAGAGGTTTTTTTCATAAACACCATAGTGTGTCACATTGTTGATATGATGTTTTGTTTTATTTCCTCATCTTCCCTTGTGTGGTTTTTAGTTTTTCTTTTAAGGGATGCGCCTCCTCATGATGTCTTCATGAAGATGATCCTTGATCGATCAACCGATCGTTCGTTCGTTCATATGAAATGATTCAATTAAAAGTAGCTCACCGTTGTGTCTGAGCACCACAGCCATAGAGTCCTGAGTTCTGGAGCTGATATAGATGAGGATGCTGGGAGCGCTGTAGGTACTGAAGCTGAACACCAGCTCCTCCCGGGTAAGGTTGGCTTCACCTGACGCACCTCCCCCAGGTAAAGCTCTGTCCTCCTCCTGCAGAGAGGGTCCTGCATCTGACAGGAAGTCATAACGCACCAGGGTTCCTGTCTCAAAATAACCTCCCACATCTGATACACACAAGTACACATGTGCACACACACACACACACACACACACACGCGCACAGAACATATTAAAACAGAACATATTAAAACATACTCATACATAAAATACATATCTATAAAGTCAGCAGTTTGTACCGTTGGTGCAGAAGGGTCCATCATACGCTGTGTGAGAGCAGTCACATGAGTATCCATTATACTGCTCCACACACTTCCCTCCGTTCTTGCAGTGCATCCCATAACTTCCACAGTGACCCCGACAGCCTGGACTCACCCCCACAGTCATCTGGGCTCTTTCTTCCAGGTCCAGAAGGATACCGTTTATTTTAAGAGCCCGCATGCAGCCCAGGAAACCCCTCTGACCACGTGAAGCACCTGAAACAAGACACAACACAGGTTTTAATATTTAACAAGAGAAATGACAATTTCTGTGAACATACAGTGTGACTGTAGCCTGGCCCTTGTCTTCCTACACAGTTCTGCTCAATTCTTGATTCCCTTCTCTGCTCCATCTGGGATTTCTCCCATAGACAAGGATTTCTCCAGTAGAATTTCAACCGAGCCAACCAGCGAACAGAAGAAGTTGTGAACGACACTGTTGATTTTCTGCATAATTTTAGTCCGCTTGTAATTAAGCAATGGCAAAACGTGAATGAAGCCTGTCAGTCTGTGTTGACAAGGCTTCCAGATTAAATTAAATTAGTCTCACAAAGCCTGCAGCACTCATTTACAGCCATCTCCTTCAGCTCTGTTCTTCTCTCCTCTTAGTAGGGGATGGTTGTTTACAGAGCACACAATTTCTGGTTAGCTTCTTAGCTTAGCTTCCTTCTCTGTTGAGCTGGTGCACAACATATGTCACAGCCAAACGTTAGCGATTGGTTACATCAGATCCAATCATTTTAAACGTAAACAGAGTCCACACCTCCAGCAAGAAAGACCCTCTGTATGAAACAAAGCAAAGGACAAGGGGCTGGTTTTTACCAGGCTAGTGTGACTGCTGACTTACTTGCTGAAAATCTTAAATGACTAGCTAAAAGCTAATGGATCACCGCAAGATATTGGATAAAAGTAGCAAAATGCTAAGTGACAGCATAGAGAACCAAAAGACTAGCTGAAAGTAGCAAAGCGTTAGCTAAAAGTTAAAGGCAACAGAACACTATTTAAAAGCTAAATGCAGTAAAAAGTTGGCTAAAAATAGCAAACTTGTATCTAAAAGAATTAGAATGGCAGTTAAAGCTAAAAGTATCCAAATGTGGCTGAAAAATCCAAAGACAGCAAAAGGCTGTCATTAAAGTAGGAGAACATCAGCTAAAAGTACCAAAAGGTTGTAAAAGAACTAAGAAGCAGAATATTAGCTAAAAGTGAAAGCAGCAAATAAAAAAACAAAAACAGAACCAGTAACATTGTTTCAGTCGTGATCACTATATAGATTTTATTAGACCTGTTCAAGTCAGACTTTCTGAAACCTGTAGCACCTTTTAATAAAGATTTAAGTGAATAAATGTAACTTTGAAAGAAATTTTCTTTAATAAATTAGAATTTGAGCAACAAATTCCTGATTTTAAAAATCGTAGCTGAAAAGATTCCATCTTTGAAAACCTTTAATTAAATCATTAAAAGAACAAATTTAAAATGACATTCATGCTTAATAAAGCTGAATAAAATATTAAAGGAGGTACTCATCCATCCATCCATCCATCCATCATCCATCCATCCATCCATCCATCCATCCATCCATCCATCCATCCATCCATCCATCCATCATCCATCCATCCATCCATCCATCCATCCATCCATCCATCCATCCATCCATCCATCCATCATCCGTCCATCCATCCATCCATCCATCCATCCATCCATCCATCACCTGGTGTTCCATGCAGGGTCATGTAAAAGAGGCCAGGGACACCTTGAACATGTCTCCAGTCCATCACAGAGACTCACAACCATTCGCACTCAGAAACCTGGGACAATTTAGAATAATCTGGATGTTTCTGGTCTTTTGGAGGAACCAGTAGCACCTCCCACTCATTCAACTCAGCAAATTTCGGTTAATTTCATTTTGTTTGACACTGCAGAAGGCTGTACAGTGCAGGTTCAGTCCAGATTCAGATTAGTTCAGAATAATGACATCATCATCATTCAAGAATTGGGACAGCTCAGATCAAATATTAGTAATCTGAGATGCTGATCCAGACTCTAGGATCTGCTGTTACTGCAGTAGATATTTTTAGCTGATTTTATGGAGCAGGTTTAAGCTTGTGTTTAATTATAACATAAAATGTGAAATTCAAAGGGCCCTAGTGATGACTGAGGCAGCTCAGTATAAATGTATGCAGCACTTTTCAGTTTTTTTCTTTATGTAAAACACACCTGATATTTTGTGTAGGTTTGTTATTATTTATTATAAAATAGAATAAATCCTAGATAAATTTCAGGTTCTATGGTTATAAAACAGAAAGAACGAGTGAAAACTTTTGTCACCCAACAGAACTCTACACTAACTCAGATTCTGTTTTAACGTCAGTTGTAGTTTTTTTTTAAGCAGCAGCATACATCATGGCTGTAAGATAAAAGAAAGATTCCTCCCGGGCTCTGTAAAAAGATTGGACTGTGCTGGGTCCGTTTGCTGCTTACCAACATACAGATCAGTGTAGAAGTCCTGTTTCCTGTGTCCCTGTGGGGGGACGGCTCGGACGTCTCTGTGAACACCATCCAGCTGCAGAACAGCTTCCTTAATGTTCTTCTCCACCTCCACACGGTGCCACTGGTCATCACTGAGAGCACTCTGTGAGCGAACACTGAGCACCACCCTCTCACTGCCCACATCAAATGAGACCAGGACCACTGATCCGCCTGGGAAAACACACATTAACCAATGCTTATTGCACCCTTTAATACATTTAAACTTTAAAACCAGTCATTGTAGCAGTTTTACATTCTCATCCTAAATCTGAGTTCCCACTTTGTCTTAAAATTAGGCAGAAAGTTCAAAAGCCAGCCTCTCTGATGGTATAGGGGTGTATTAGTGCCCATGGCATGGGTAACTGCCACATCTGAGAAGGCTCCATTAAAGCTGAAAGCTACATCAAGGTTTTGGAACAACATATGCTGCCGTCTAAGCCACGTCTGTTTCAGGGACATCCTGCTGATTTCAGCAGGACGATGAAGACACATTCTGCACTTGTTTTAACAGCGTGGCTTCGTAGTAAAAGAGTGCAGGTACTAGACTGACCTACCTGCAGTCCAGACCTGTCTCACATTGGAAATGTGTGGAGCATTATAAAGAGCAAAATACAACAACAGAGACCCCGGACCGTTGAACAACTGGAGTTGTTCTACAAGCAAGAATGGAAAGAATTCCACCTATAAAACTTCAACAATTACCCAGATTTACACAAGATGCGATTCCGCTCAGCTGCGCAGTTCGCAGCCATTCGTTTGCTCCCTAATTTATACAGCGTCCGCTCCGCTCCGCTCCACTGCGGTGCGACACACTGAGGAGGGAGGCTGTGCAGGAAGGAGATTGCGCGATAAATCCAGTGATAAATGTGGAAGTCAGAGCAAAAAATAATAAATTCTGTGAAAGACGAACTCCAAACACAGCTGAAAACATTGATATAAAAGCTTTTGTTATCTATGGTTGAACTGTCTCGCTGTCGTCTTTTTGAAACTTCTGATTTCAAAATAAAATCCACGTGTATCGTGTGTGTACACATATGCTTCATGCTAAATGTTTCCATCTGCTTCCCAAACATAACGATACATTCTGACAGCATTTGTGTAGAAATATATCCGTATTTTTAGTAATATAGCTGGGATTTCGACAAAATTATTCCACCTTATGGTGTCTTATTCTGAAAATACGGATGTTGTGCTTGTTCCTTTTCCTGTTGGTGCGATGTGATCTTTGTAGATTGACTCCGGAGCAGCTCCGGCATCCGGCAAAAATAGGTTTGGTTCCGCTCTCTGCTGCCGTGCGAAGCCAGTATAAATACTCTCATTCATTAGAATGGTTGCATATTTGCTGCGGAGGTTGGACCGCAGCGGAGCGGAGATGCATGTAGTGTAAATTAGGGGTTCGTGTCTTCAGTTTATAAACACTTATTGAGTGTTGTTAAAAGGAAAGCTGATGGAACACAGTGGGAAACATGCTTTTATAGAATGTGTTGCAGCATCAAATTCAAAACACAAATAATCATATTCTGTTTTTATTTATGTTTTACAAAACATCCCAACTTTACTGAAAGTGGAGTTGTATGTTCATCTTTTTACCACAACGTAATAAATTTATATAATCTTTCCATACATCTCTTAAAAATGGAAACCAATGAGATTAAATGTAACCGTTTACAGATTGCGTCGGAACCCTAGTACACACAAACCTTTCAGTTCAACGTGAAGGAAGCTGCTGGCTCCCAGACTCTCCATGAAGACTCCATAAGAGGAGGACGTCTTAAAGTAGAAGGAGACATCAGTGCTGGTTTGTCCTGAGACAGACTGGAAGTGGAGGGAGGAGGCTGGGCTGCTGAAAGAGGCTGCGTTCCAGTAGTCCCCTTCAAAAAACAAAACAAAACCAAACGAGTCTTATTATCCTGAGGCATCAAGGCTGAGTCTGTGAAAGACAAAGTGAAAAACTCACGGTCCCCCTGACATCTAAGAGGCCCGACAGTCAGTTTGGCCTCAGATCCAGTTCTGCTGGTGTCACCAACCACAACCTCCCTGACGGGCAAATGGTCTTTATAAACCAGCAGGCCTGCATCCTCCTTCCTGCCAACAACAGAACAACTGTCCTCATCAACTAAAATTATTACATTTACATTTATTCAAGTTCAGGCAAATAATACAAGATCTGAATTATGTAATGTTAGTTGTGGAGTTCCTCAGGGTTTTGTGCTTGGACCAAAGCTTTTTATTTTGTATGTTGGTCAATTAACTCTCACTACTGGTGAATTCATTTAAAATTTGGTATTGATCTGAAATATTGTAAATAAAAATGTTATAAATAAAAGCTGAGATGGAGACCAGGTCCAGACACAGATGAAGACAACACTCACCAGGTTCGCAGGTCAGAGTCACAGTTGCAGAAGTGTTTGGGATCTGTACAGTTGTTTTCAATCCCACAGGCACACTTCTGGATCCCAGGTCCAGAACCCCCCCAGTACCAGTGCTTTTTGTTGTCTCGGCCCACCCACCAGGTAAATGGAACACCATCTAGGAGTCAAACCAACACATTTATAAAGTTTACTTTACAGTTTTTTTCTTTTTCTGGGGAATCATGACTCCAGGCCCCCTAACTGGCACACACTTCTACTGAAATGTCCTGTCTGTTTCCTCTTCAGAAGGTGGGAGAGCATTTAGCTCATTCAGCTAACCACATAAAGTCCTATCACCCAAGGGATTACAAAACACAATCTGAACAGATTGAGAGTTTAGAAGACAAAACAGAAAAACGACTAAACAAAAGTTGTCCTCAGAGAGTTTTGAAGAGAAGATGAGGTGTGTTTGACACCTCAGTTCTGAATTAAATCAAAGAAAAATCAAACTAACTCACAGGGTCACTGATTGTGTGTCCCATTGTTTAGTTTTACAAAGTTACATCCTTCAGAACCTTTTATTGTCACATACTGCTTTAAAACTAGCTCAGATCAGCTTGTGTATGAGTCCTGATCGCTCACCTGGACCACTGAGCAGACGGGACATTCTGCAGCTGTAAGCTACAAACTGCTCACACCTGTGTGCTCTGCTGGTGATAGACAGCACCTGAAACACACAAAAACAACATGATCTCATGGATAATAAATAGAAATGTTATCTTCCAGTTTGAAGTTTCTTATATTTTGTGCTGTTTTAAATATTCAGACATTCAGCTCTATCAAGAATAGTGCCCTATAATTTCTGACTTCTGTAACTTTTTATACTTTTTAAAATACATTACATTGTTTAAACTACAATAGAAAGTCATGTTTGTAACTACACTATTAATATTATTAAGCAACACAATAATAAATGAATTATGCCAGTTTTAATTCAAGATGGCCGCCACAGCCACAATGTTAATGTTGAGGACGACTGTCAGTGATTACCACACACTTTACCTTACTTTCATTAAATCTGAGTAAGCTATAACCATTTCTCTGATGGAAAGGGTAGATCAGCTGTGGCAGCCATCTTGACTCAGTTTGTTGTAAACGTTTTAATGATCACTTCCTGAGAGGTTTATCACATCTGTTCAGTGGTTCCTCAGATCATTGGCAACGGAACACTTAAATAAATACAGACATAGACCAGTTTTCATTGAATATGCAGTACAATGTGTAGTGCTCCGAGTGCAGGATGAGGATGACTCTCACTTACTACCACACCCAATCTTAGCCCAGTATCAGTGAAAAACACTGTGAATAATGTTAATTACAGAAGCCATTTATAAAGGGATGACCCTAAAAGTTTATTTGTAGGTGTACATTTCATATGAGTACTTTCGGGGAGGTTACTTAAAATTCATCTAAGGGTTCATGAGATATTTTGCTAATGGTAAAAACAATCACACACACACAAGGACAAGGGCAAAAACATTTTCTCAGAGTGGGCAACACGTAGAAAAGAAAATCACTGTTAGTTCCCACTTTGTACCTGTTCGTCTGTAACATTGTAAGAAATTTGCAGAGCTGTTTTCATGCCCTTGTTTGCAGCAGAGACAGCCATCTGTGGGGACAAATCATTCCTTAGTGTGGTCCATGACAAGTCCTCTGAAAAACAACAAAAAAATCAAAACAATTAGAGCTTTTCAGCAAAGCTTCAATTACTATAAACAAAATGTTGGCAGATGGAAAACAGCTAAAAACAAAAACAAACGCAATGATGTACAATGTGACAGAGGCACGTCTCTGGAACACCTCAGGTATGGTTTAAAACTTTAGAAGTGATGTTTTCTAGCTGTTAGCTCATCAGTCCTACCAAAATTAAACTACTTCTTCAAACGTCTGCGCTATCCCTTCAAGAACTGAATAGAAATGTTTGCTTTATAAACAGACACTATAAAAAATTTACTGGTAACCAACACACACCCTTGTGGAACACACATGCAGAAACAAAACTCAGCTTTAAATCCTGTTTAATGAGAAGAATTTCAACTGGATCATTTCACATTTAAACTGCAACCAGAAACAATTCATGGCATCATAATGTCACATTGGTTATAAGAATCAGTTAATTGGCAGATAAAAAAGGAGCCTCCTCTTTCAGACTCCATCATCGCTGGTGTCCATCAAATTAAAAACCTGAAACCGTATTACCGTATTCATATTTACTGTCTGCTGCCTACAGCAGGAGTGAGCCTACCTGAGTTTGTGGCTTATTTTAGATTCTGTTTACAGTAACACATTTCCTTTGTGCGGCCATACCAACAGCCACAGAGAAGAAAATAAAGGGTTATAAGTCCTGTTAGCAGCAACATCTCACCTGACATATCACAGCTGACTCTGAAAGGAGCCATGGAGCCACTGCCATCTGGGTCAATCCAGTAGGTTCCTGAAGTCTTCCCTTGCAGCTTGTACTCCTCACAGGACTGCTGGTACAGGGCTGCAGAGGAGGAACACTCAAACAGGTCAGGAAGAAAACAGCAACCATCAGCGAGTGGTCTGTGTGTACAGAACATGATTATCCAGCTTGATTACAGTGTAACCTGCTTTCTTCTTAAGCTGCTAGACTTTTACAGATTCTGATGCACAAAAGGAGTTTAGAGATTTCTTCTGCCTTGCACAAGTCCTGTTCAAAACCAAATCCACTTCTTCTGATGTTTAACTACCAGAAAATTATTATTTTGAACAACTCTAGAGTTAATTGGAATGTTTGGGAGACATCACATCAACAGAGACAATACACAAAAAAACAAACAATATAAAAATAATAAAAGGCAAAAACTCAAGATTGGGTTAAAGGCAAAGAGTAAAAATCAGTTTTAAGAGCAGATTTATTAACAGTTATTTTATATACAACTCAGCTCAGCTGGTTTACATGGATTAAAACAGTCATGTCATGTTTCCTGGTTACTTTAATCTCTGTCCCGATCATTCCAGCCTGCGTTTTGCTTGCACAAGCTGTTTGCCAGCTCGTGATGGAAAGATGAATGTGGTTAGTACTCACAGGTATGACAGGTGGCTCCAGTGTAGCCAGAGCCACTACAGTTGCAGCTAAACGTTTCCCATGTCTGGGAGCACCGCCCACCATGCTCACAGTGGTTAGGAACACATCTGCCATCACAGACAAAAAGCAGGTCAGATATGTGAAGCGGTTTCTGTAAGGCAGTAGGACTCTGCTTTCACTTGTCTTAATATTCTGAGTGCCGCACCTGTCTGTAATCGCACACATATCGAGGCTGACGTTTTCAAACGTTCCAATAAAACCCTGCTCCACGGCTCGGAGGTCCACCAGCTGGTCATCGATGTGGATCATCTGCATGCAGCCCTGGAAGGAGCGTGGTAGTGAGCGGCTGTTTGTGTGCAGGAAGTACCCTGGAGAAAATAAAAACTCTTGTTACTACAGTAGAAACACAAATATGAGAACTAAATAGTTCTTCTGTAGTCTCTTTTTCCTCCTGTAGAACTCATGACATCATAAAGACAACAGCATGTGTCGCCTGTGACAGAAAAACATCCAGCTTTTATTTTAGAGCTTACTCACACATTTATTTACAGAACCAAATGAAACATACCCCTTCATGACTAATGCTGCATTCACACCGAACGCGATTTCAGCTTCAAAATCGCATCCAACGCTTCAAGTTGGACACTTGTGCACTTTGAGGTCAGACGCAGGTCAGCTCTTGAAGCGCTCGCACGCAACAGCCTCCCCGCCCCTCCCTCCTCTGTCGGGCTCTGTTTAATGTCGGACGAGGAAGTGGCTTTGCTTTATTTACAGAGAGCAAGAGCATGTCACGTTCATCAGATAATTAATTCATAATTAGTTCACCAGATAATTCAGAGACATTCTGAGTTTCATTACCCAGGAGCTGCGAGAGAGGCTCACAGCTCACTTTCAGGACTATTTTTCCAGTCTGATGAGTCGCTGCCACGCATTGGTGAGGATATCTCCTGTCAGGACACTGACTGCAGGCACTCGATTTCAGCTAAAGAGCTCCTCTCCATCTGTTTCAGGTTAGTGGACATCATTCAGTAAACTGTCCCGTCGGGAAATATGTCGCTACGTCACACAGTGGAGTCTCTCTGATTGGTTGATGCTGCGCGTCGAGCTGCAAAAGTTCAGATATTTCTAACTTCAGCGATTTGTGCCTCAGCGCGTCGAACGCTCAGATCGTTCAAATCGTGCTGCTCTAATCGCGCTTGAGGCGCCGCAGCCCTTCCCGACGCTGATTGAAGCGCGTCCACCATAGACTTTGCATGTAAACCTGATGCTCCTGATGCTGAAATCACGTTTGGTGTGAACGCACCATAACTCAGACAAGTTGTTGGTGCCCCACTAAAATCCTTGGGACTGTGTTGTCTAGGGTGTCAGCCCCCTGATGGGGTCTTCTATGATAAAACTGGTGTCAAGGATTCATAATAAACAGATAACCTGACCCAGAGCAGGAAACTGGGACAACCTGTGAAGCCAGGACCTGAAGCCTCGACTCCTGAGACTGAGCTGGACTCAGCCTGAAGAAACCACAGAATGGTATCTCCATTGGTTAACAGCCTGTGATTAGGAAGGTAGGAATTATACAGTATATTATAAATTAGTGTTTATTTATGTACAGTAATCCAATCCAATCCAATCCAACTTTATTTGTAAAGCACTTTTTGCACCATAGTAGACCAAAGTGCTGTACAGAATCAGCACTGCAACACAGCTCATACAAAAACAAACTCAATCACAATTAAAATAGGAAAAGTCCAAGTCCAATAGGTCCAAGCCATTTCAGTTTGTAATGTTTGGATTTTTGTCTCAGTTTCAGTAATTTGTATTAACATTCCAAGACTGCCAGGCAGACCAGGTAATCCAAGCCAATCCTGAAACCCAAGCAGGCTGTGATCAGGGTCTTTAATGCACATGTGACTTCCTGTAGCTGTGTCCAGAAGCCACAGGGGTCTGAGCTGTACGACACAAACAGTGATGGAGGCCAACAAGCTAACAAAGAAGACATTCAGGTTTTTGCTTTTCCTGAAGAGAACCAGCAGCTGACAGATGCAGAGCAGACAGAGGAGCTGCAGGGTCTATAAAAACTCGTGTGGGGAGGATCCAGGGAGGCCTCATTAAGAGTCTCATGGTTCCAGCAGGGCTTGGTTTGGGTGATGACCTGCTGACCTGAACTGGTGATACAGTAAAGGTGGAAGAAGCACTCTGAATATTTCTGTAGTCATGGCTGAGGTCACGTCAATCACTGAGGAGACTCGGATACAGGGAGAGGTCAGACCATAGGCCCTGAAGGTCACCTGGTCTGTTGAAAACCTTCCTGCTAACAAGTACCCAGAGATAGAAGCAGTCTCTCAGTGCTGCTTGGAGGACAGGTAGTTATCATTTTGAGCAATCACCTCCAAAGTAGTAGGTTCCACCAGTCTGGATCTGGATGGGAATAGCTGTCCTGACTGTTGAGGCCTCGTCTCCATCCACTGTCAGCATAGCATGGTTTTCCAGAGCATTCAAATGGACACTATGCCACTGGCCATCATTCAAACCTGAGCCTGAGGAGACAAAAACACATTTTCATCCTTTGGCAGCTGAAACACATTTAACAAGCTGCAACAAGTCAACTATGATGGTTAAAACTTACAGACGTGTATCACCCACTGCTTTCATATCAGAGTTTTAAACAAATATCATTTTATGAGCTGAGCAGATTAGGTCCATCTGTGAAAATACCTTACCAACCTCAGCTATAACCAAACCATGCTTAAGTTTTAATCAAAGATCTGTTGGAGCTCAAAGGGTGTGTTAAAGAAGGCTCTCAGCCCAACCACCTTTAATGTGTTGGCTTATTTTCAGTAGCTAAAAGTTAACTAGATACTGACGTGTATTCACAGGCTACTCTGAACTTTTCAGTAGAAGCTGTCAAGTGGTTAATGAGATATTTTCCTAACAGACACAGAATTAGCTGCAGCTGTTAAAGTTTTAGGTTAAGATCTTGCACAGTGGCTGGCACATTGAGTATGAGGTGTGAATTAAATTTTAGCTCAGTATCTGTTAAATGACTGAATTATACTCAGTCATGTGGTTTTTAAAGGGGATATGTCATGTAAAATCAACTTTTTTGAGTTTTATATCATGTTATAATGTTCATTAAAAACATGTGCATCAAAAACATGCACAGAGCCTCGCTTTGACTCATTCATGAATGTTTGAGAAATCCTGAAGTGTCTTGAGGCAGCCAGGCAGGGGAGCAAAAATGACTGGTTGGAATTAGAACCGCCTGTTGGGACCATCTCCTCTGGGCTGTCTCCAAGCTGAGCTTCCTCATCACACAGCACACACACCCACCCCATCCCCGACTCCTCTGCAGGCTCTCGGCAGCAACAAAGCAAAAAACTGGTGAAACTGAAAGTGTCTGCTGAGCTCCTAATACTACTTCTCAGTTCAGCCCTTTTCAGATTCAAAATACCTTTGACTATTTTCAGAAGCTAACTAAGCGGAGCAAGTTTATTTTCTATTTAAACATAAAAACAACATTTTAATAACAACTGAAGGTGACATATACTTTATTATGGTATAGAGTTTAAATATATGCCTGAGATTTCTGTGAGTTTCATTCAAATTCATCCAGTAATTCATGAAATAATTTGTTATCCAGCAAACACAAACATACAAGGGAAAAGAATGTGGGAAATTATGAAGAAAACTAAGAAATGCAAAAATGCAGATGAGAAGCTACAATTCATTCATAAACAATTAAAATATTACTCCTAACATACAAAGCTCCATCATATATTAAACATCTTATTGTTCCATATTTTCCTAACAGAGCACTTCGTTCTCAGACTGCAGGTTTACTTGTGGTTCCTCGAGTTTCTAAAAGTAGAATGGGAGGCAGAGCTTTCATTTATCAAGCTCCTCTCTTGTGGAGCCAACTTCCAGTTTCTGTCCGTGAGGCTGACACTCTGTCTACTTTTAAGATTAGACTGAAGACTTTCCTTTTTGATAAATCCTATAGTTAGACTTAGGTTTCCTGAGTTATTCTTCATTTCTGCTGCTATAGACTTAGACTGCTGGAGCACAAACTGAGCACATTTCTTCACTCTGCTGTTGTCTTTACTCACTCTCCTCTACATGTTTATTGTAATTATTTCTATCAATAACATGTTTTCTTTGTCTTTCTTAAAGAAGAAAATACACCTGGACCAGTCCTGTGTTTGTCTCTGTCTCTTTCCTGTTTCTCCAAACCCAGCCGGCCGAGGCAGATGTTCGCCTGTCCTGAGCCTGGTTCTGCTGGAGGTTTCTTCCTGTTAAAAGGGAGTTTTTCCTCTCCACTGTCACCAATGAGCTGCTCAGGATGGGAGACTGGGATGAAGTGGTTCACCACAATCTGCTGGCTTCTTTACATTTATTGTTTTTCGTGTACAGTGCCCTGAGATGACGTTTGTTCTGACTTGGTGCTGTATAAATAAACTGAACTTATTCAACTGAAGGCTGAAATCTAACCTGAAGAAATGTCAATCCGTGTGTTCTTCTTCTGTGTGACGTTCATGAAGATGGTGACCCTGCCGTCAATCAGCCCCAGCTCCACCCATCCGTCAGCCAGCTGGGTGAACATCAGCAGCCCGTTGGGGTTCCACGTCCTGAAAGACAAACTGACTGACAGCGTGTCGCTGTCACTCTGACCCGGCAGCCGCAGGAAGGATGTGGAGTTAAAGAAGACCGGGAAGAAGTTGGACTCTGAGCAGAAGAACGTCAGGTTACGCTGAAGTGAAACACAGAGAAACAGCAGAATTAATGCTTCAGAAATGGACCGTGCTGTGCTGCTCAGTTACTTTAATTTTTCACGATTTGTTCAGTGGTTCAGTGTCCGTTATGAGTGAAAAATCAGCCATGCCACAGAAAAACAAAAGGAATCAAAAAGCTTGCATGCAGAAGAGATTTGTCTTACAAAGCTGGAGGTGTCGACCCTCTTCCTGCGCACCAAGTTGGTGATGTTGTCCCCATTGTAAGTGATTCTCTCCATGCAGCCAACAAAGTTCTGTTTACTGCCTGAGCTCAGCTTTGCAGACTCAGGAAGTCCTCCAAAGCTGATCTGACAACACACAGCAGGAAAAAGATTGTAAAAACAAAACTGAACCTTCACACAGGTTTCAGTGCTGACAGACACTGAACAACAAGCAGTGTTTTAACAGAAGTCACTGTGGTTACTCATGCCAAACCCTCAAATCAAGAACATCTGGACATTTTCTCTGTGGATATTGAGTGCTGAATGGCTTTGCTGAAAGTTTCTGAAGAAACTGAAACTGTGCGACTTCAAACATGATGCTTCAACAAGGACAGAAAGAGGGAGGAGTGCTCCGCTCCATGTTTGGCAGCTTGGTTTTTCATTTGGGTCCAGGGGGAATTAAAACATCGCATCTATTTTTAGACCATGGTGCATCATTTTTTTATCTGAAATTATTTGCCTTCTTCCTTTTTTCTTTCTTTCAAAATTGCTTTATGTGAACTTTTTTCTATTTATAACTCAGCTAAAGAAATGTGGGTGGAGAGAGAGGCTTTGTTAGTTTGAATTGTCAGGGCCTAAAGAACTCTCAGCAAAAAGTCAAAGGAAAAAAAATTGTATAGGTCCTCTGGACGGGTTCTTCTTTAATGAAACGTTTCGTCTCTCTTCCAAGAGACTTCTTCAGTCTGAGAGTTTCAGGCAAAATTC